TTTATGATAAGTACACTTTGCATGGTGAAATTACATTGCGTCATTTTTGCGGATTTTGCTACCATTGTATTGGTTTCATCGATTTTGCGGCATTCTATCATGTTTCTGATCAGCGGCAAACTTTCAAAGTGCCAACGCAACTGGCGACCTTTCTCTTTTTCGAAGGTTTCTTGTTTACCTTTGTTTACCGTTGAGTGGTTGTGATGTGTGAACGGAGACGATTTCGCTGCATAGTGTGTCTAGTCGTAACGAATAGATGCGCTATCGACTCCTTTTTTCCGATCCCACCCACCCACCAAGACGTTATCGTCGTCGTGGTCACGTTGTGCGTTTAGCTGACCTATTGATACCAGCGAGTGAAACTGTTTCGAGTAGACGATGAGATGGAATTCACGAAAGGTTGGTTAAATGCCCTCCTTCATTCTCGATTTCCCTTTATTGCACAAAAAGTATCCTGGAAAGGTTTGAACTCAAACCGATTTTTCGCTCTTCTTCGAATTATTTTTTGTTATTTTTTATATTAATTGATTTTTAAATTACCCACATGGAAACTGAGGGCAGTTCAACGACGAGTGGGGGCATTTTGCAATTTTGCTATTTCCCATCAACGTGTCCACCCATCAGATAGCCTCCTTTTCTTGAGTTGACAGGTTTCGCTATGGTGGCTTGACGAGCTTACACTCCTTCACAAGAGTTCACAGGTTTCACCAGAGTGAGACTTGTAAACCGGAACTAGTGAAGCAGCGAAAGTGCAAAATGCCCCCCCCCCTCTCCCCGCCGAATCGCCGAACTGCGCCTGTTATCAGTACCAATGTTCCAATCCTATGTCCTTTAGCATTTGTAAATGTGGAAGCTGTTCAGCCACGACGAAGCGCATAGCGAGCAGAGCACGTCATACGTTGGTGGGGATGCCCAAGAGGGGTGTCGTAAATGTCTTCGTAGAAAAATGGTCCCGGTAATTGACTCTTCACGGTCTCAGGTCGTTTTTTTCCCGTTTGATATGCGCTAAATATCCCCTTCCTCTTACTTTTCCGGCAGCTTTTTTGTGGAAAAACCGTAGAGTTTCCGGAAAAATCTTGAATAAATGTAAGGAATTAGAAATCTACGGAAGTGGTAGGTAGAATGGAGGATGGGGGAGGGGGTCGTAATTCTGAAAATTTTCTCCAAAAGCAGCACATGGCCTGATTAATGATTCATGTCATGCACTTCAGAACGAATTTCCCTGGTTTTTTTAATGGAGCGACCAAGAGGTGTTGCTCCCGATATACCCTGTCCATCCCAGTGCTCTACTCTTCTTCTCTTGCAATACTCTTTCCATGTTTCTTCCTTGGCCTGATTTTGATGAGATTATCGTCTTCCCAATTGTCCTGAGCTTTTCTGCTATCGATTTTCCCCTGAGATGAAGAGCAATTATGGGCGTTATTTCGCAAATTCAATATCCTATTCGTTATCCTTTTTTCGAAATTTCTGGAATGTCCCTAGGACGAGTTCATAGTGAGTTCACAGCCCACTCTCATGTTTTAGTGATGTTGAGAGGGATGTGATCGATTTGATAACTCTAGAGACTTTTTCAATGGACGGGAAAGTGCTTCGAAAAGTGCCAAATTTCAATTTTACCTGTTCCCTCATCTTTTGAACAGCGGGTTGGGCAATTGTATTCAAGTGGTTCTGGTTTGGAAATGTTTCATTATGGTGGGCAACACTTCCTCACATAGGCGCATTGCCAATTTTCAAAGACGCCGTCCACGCTGTTCGTATGGGCGAGATCAGACTAACCCTTCTGCGCTCCCAACGGTGGCCTCCTATTTTCTGAGGCCATGGAGAAGAAGGACTCCGCCCAGACAAACAGCGTGATTACCTCAAACTTTCTTGTTGGAATTGTGAAGAAGTGCGTATTGTCGTTCATATCGCACCAAATTTAAACCTTTTTTTTCAGATTTACGTCACGAAAAGTATTAACATGAGATGCTGAGAGTTCATCTGTTATCAAAAAATTAATAGCGTTTCGCAGAGCAGACTTTTGACCGCTCGCTAGCGCAGCTTGGGAGCTTAAATTGTTCGTCGCATGTGCCATGCGTTGGAGGTTTGGCAAAAACGACCCTCAGTTGCCCTTTTCCCCAGCTCTACCTGCATCTTACCTGAACTTGCCGAGCCTTCCATTTCCTACCACTTTCAGGTGTTTTTTTTATTCTTATCCCTGCCTGGTAACGGCCTTCCTCATTCCCAGTTGTACATACAACCTTCCTAATCTTTCCCTTACCACTATTTACTTGAGTTCTCTTTTTCGATTACTTCAGCTACCCCCACATCCCCTGGATATGAGAGGGTGTGTGCTGCCCATTGTTTGATGATACGAGTAAGACGCGTTTTTCGTGGGTTATTTGGTTCAATATGCGAATCAGATAACCCGCCCCAAGTGGCTCTATTATTCTGAGGCCATGGAGAAGAAGGATCGCCCGCCAGACAACAGCGGATACCTCAACTTTTTTCCCCCCCTTATTGTTGAATTGTGAAGAGCGTTTGTCGTTCATATTAGCACCAAATTTAACCTTTTTTCAGATTATATTATCTATGCTGAGAGTCTCATTGTTTTAAAAAAAGACGTTATAGCTTTCAGGCAGAGTTGACCGTCTGCGCACTTGGGAGCTCAAATGTTTGTTCGAAGGTTAATATTGTGAACCAGGCATGTCCTACCCGTGGGGGTTTGGCAAATACACCCTCAGTTGTTCCTTGTACCCAGTCTAACCTGCATCTCCTGAACTGCCGACGCCTTTGCAGTTTTCCTATCACTTCCTCTGTTTTTTTTTTTCTCGCTCTGAGCCGCTCCCATTGGCGCGTTGTACTACATCACCGTTCTAATCTTCCCCTTCCATACTATTTCTTGAGTATCTTTTAATCCTTTTCTTTCATCAAAAAGCTGTCGGATATTGAGTAAAGAGAAAGAAAAAAAAACGGCGGAAAGCAATACCGGAATCATTTTCTGACGCAAATATGACACTCCTCTTCTCTAGGTCAACGTAGAAGGGGTGATTGTCGTATTTGGAATAGCCATGTAAGATCTGTTAATCTAGACTCCCCAACGTACACGTGCCCTGCGTCAGTTGTGTAGCAGGCAGATTGAGATGTCTACGCGGGTCATATCATTTTGACGAGCAGTTGGCTTATTCATGGTGTGTCCCGTTTTTTAATCTTGGAAAGCGTGGTCCACCAGTAAGAACGGTCCAATTGATCGGTTCCATTACCCCGTGTAGAATGCGCATTTCACTATCGGCAGCTACACCCCACATCCTGGATATGGAGAGGGTGTGGCTGCACACCTTGTTTGATGATTACGCGTAAGACGCGTTTTTCGTGGGTTATTTGGATTTGAGGGAACTGTCCTTGTCTTGTGATGGACAAAGTCGTAATTACGATTGTACCAGAACGCTACTAGAAGCGCCGTCGCCTTCACGTTAAAGAGAAGCACGCAGCCCCGCCCTGTCTGTCGCCGGGAACGGACTTCATCTCTGGTCTCGTCAGCATTAAAATACAAATATGTAATTTATTCCTAAGGGGCAAATTCAAAGAAGTTCATGTTCTATGTTTTTATTTGTCTGTGTTACAATCTTTATCAGCTGACGTTTGAGAGTGACTCGATTGCAGAGTTGTAGTGAGAGTATGTAGTTATTTTCATAGAATTTTTTGCATAACTACAGTATAATTTGTTTATTTCCTTACTTGTTCCCTTCGTTTCTGTCGTATCTGACGTAGAGTTGAGCTAAGGAAATGAAGTGGGAGAGTCAATCACGAGTTATGTTAATTTGCAGCAATTATTTAACAAATTTTGATGAGGGGCTTTTTTCCATGGCACGCACAGCCATTTTCAAATCTTTTTAGGTTCTTAGGGGGGGGGGAATTCCATTTTCATTTTTTTATAATACAGCCACGAGTCGTTTGTGAAAATGATTTGTAGAAGTCATTCAGTGGAGAGCCTCAAGGCGATTTTTGATTTGTTTTTGATTGGAGAGCGACACGAGTGACATCATTGGCGAGTTTTATTGTGCGATTTGGTCGCCCTGCTGTTTTGATATCATTGACCTCTTGCCAGTATTACGACAAAGACTCAGTGTGGAATGTGTGGTGGGGGGGGGCGTGAATTAGCACCGTTCTGTTTCCTGGTGGAATGAATCATTCAAAAAAATTTGCCACTGCTTATAAATTTTATTGGTATAAGATGAGGTATGGTTCGAATAAGATGAATGTGGAAGTAAACAAGTGAATAAGTAAAACGAAATTAATATAAAATTACATTTAGTCACGAAACTGCAAATTAGGGCGTTAATTTTGTTTGGAGGGGGGGGGGGGTGGGCAGCCGGCTGCACCACTGTGCACTTTCCTAAAAAAGCTTAGGTGTAGAGTGCAGACGACCAGAGTCGCCAGTGGATAGTCCCGCAGAAAGGGCACGTAGTAAGGAGGAAGACTGAGGATTCCCAGTGAAGAGGAATTGCATTGATTGCTGGGGGGGGGGAATGGTCTTCTTTGCTCACGAGATAAAGGAATGCGGTTGCTGATGCTTCTCGGTTTTTCCCGTTTCGTCTATGCTACTCCGCACTCACGGCGGTGTTTGCGGGAGGGGGGGGGGACTCTTGTGAGTGGTGGAAAGCTGGGGAAAACTAGGAAGATGGTAGTTGGAATGAAGGATGGGGGAGGAGGGATCGCTTTCAAGGAGGCAACTCCATGGGGAATATTTTCCCAACTCCCAATGGCAGGAACGTGGCCTGAGTTCCGCAGAGAAGGGGACCCTTCAGCAAAGCCTAGGCCTGATCAGGGAGCTCCTCAGCCACCCCCTCCCAACTGGATTGGCGCCCGAATTAATCAAAAAAATCTAGGATGGAAAGAACTGTTACAAGCCAAGAGATTTTACCACTATTTCAATATGCTGAATGGCAGTAAAAATATTAGCGGGGGCATACTCAAAATTCTAATAGTTCGTAATTCTATGCTTACTTTTGTAAATTTCAGGGCCGCGACGAGAAAGAACGAAATCACTGGGTGCGTGCATTGGAAGGCGTTATCCGAGACTGTGGAGGATACCGAAAAACGCCCAAAAATAAGGAGAGCGCCGCAGAGGCCCTTAAACGTAAAATAACCGAAGCAGATCAGCATCTCTCAGATATTATCCTTCAGGTTAGTAGTAGAAAAAAAGTCCGTGGTTCATAGTATAAAAATAAAGTTATAGTAGTTGTTATAATAGTGATATTGGTAAAAATTTGAACAGGAAACAGGAATAACCAGAGTTTACCCTTGCTCGCTGCGGATAACGGGAAGTATTAAAAGGGTATGGGTTTGGCGTGGTGCGGCGCCTGCCCAGCCTTTCTTTATTTGGCGAGCGAGAAGACTGTATCATCTTGCCATACCAGTCGTTTCCCACCAGTGCCGCTTACCTGCTTCAACGAAAAGTCAAGAAGGTGCTGGCGGCGGTGAACCCTCCTCACTGACACGCCCCGTCGTCCGCTGCGAACAAATGTGTACAGGGGTGCTACGGGCATGAAGATCAGGTTAATGCTATGTCCTTCCTACTGGGTTATACCATAAGTCTCTCTACCAGAATATAATGTTTCTTCGCCTCTTTGGTCTCTTAGGTTAGCGCTATGTTATGGCGCTGGTGACTATCATATAGTACTGCTCGTCTTGGGATAAATGTGGGATGATACCGTTTGCGGCCAGGTTGAAGCCTTGGGATTGGGGAAATAGCGGTGCCAGTGAGATCTTTGGAAATCTCTTATTCAATACAGTGCGACTAACTCAAATTTCCTCCTATGGTTACTCCCCTTCTCATCCTTACGGCCATTTTTGTATATTCTTCCAATTCCCTGCCAACCTTCCAAAAAAATTCATCAGATTTTCTAAAAAAAACTGGTCGCAATTCATCAGATTTTCTAAAAAAAACTGGTCGCAAATAGCGATGGGGGTTGTAAAGCACGCGTGAAAGCGTGGAACGCGAAAAGTGAGCAGCCGGAAAAAATTCGCTTGAAGATAAATTTCTTCCAAGGCCATGTACGACTCCCTCCATCCACAAAAAAACGACTGGTGGGATTCTCCCAGCCATTGTGCACCCTTTTGCAGCTACGACAGTTATGAACTACGATCTCATCATCTATTTTTACGAGTTCGTACTAGGTTATAAGGAACGAGAGATGGCAGACTCCTGTCTGCCATCTCTCGTTTCTTATACCACTTTTATGACAGGGCGAGCATTTAACTCCAAGTGCTCTGTGGTTTAGTGGCTGTAAGGTCTTTACGATAACCTTGAAGTCTCAGAGTCCTTTTGCTTCTCGAAAAACGTCACCGAACCCCCAGTCTGTTTTGGGGTTTTCCATGGTGTATTTCGAGGTGCTAAATGCGACGGTATCGCGCTACAGAGAAGTTCTGCAGTTTGTGGCTTTGGGCGCAGAACTCAGATTATTCCATTGCCGACATAGAACTCTGCTCAACTCTGAACTGTTTGGCATAGTTTAGTAGGTAGAACGTCTTTTAGTTTCTGATTTGCCTAGAGGAGATTACCGTCTCGGCCGCTGTCGTGCGGTCGGTTGCAGTATAGTCCATAACAACCGGATCGACAGGGCGTGTCAATGTGACACCGATCTTACTATTAGAACAGCGTCTGATTATCCTCCACCAATCATTGCTCGTCTCGCCTGACAACGCCTGCTGGAAAGCCCGCTGGCGGCGCGCCAATATCCAAGTTGTACTGACACGCCCCGTCGATCTCGGGTTGAGGTCGTAAGTTAAATGCGTTATTTCAGGTAAAAGGATTGGAATCACTGAAGGAACATGCTAGTGAGAAAGAACGCCGAAATGTTGACGATCTCATCGCCTCCAGTAGCAAATTACTCGACACGGTCAAACACGCCATTATTTTGTTGCAGGTAAATATTCAGGTTTTTCTAGTTCGCTTTTTTGGAATTTCAGCATTAGCGCTCTTCTTTATTTAAAGGCACCAGGCGCTGTCTAGCTTGGGGAGGGAGAGGCATTTGAAGGATTCAATATGCAAATTCGGTGCAAAGTAATGGATATGGGCATTTTTGTCGAAGCCTAGGGAAGAGAGTAGCTCTGGGAAAGGTGGACTAACATAAGTTGTTCACGTTTGAGAGAGATTTCGCTCTACAGTAGTTCCAGTTCTGCGCAGGGGGTCTTCAGATGTCTTCGCTCCTCTTCCACCAAGGCGAGTAGCGCCCAGCATCATTACTCTGTATCAATAGTGAGTTAATGCAGTATTCGCTTGTATCTTACAGCGCAGTTGAAAATGACGTGAACGGAACTCTTTATCAGAGTGCGGGGTGAAAAAATGTTTTTTTATGGAAAATATGATTCCTGGATTCTAGATGGGAAGAACTGGTTTCACTCCTTTCTCTTTCTTCATTCACTTACTGTTTTTCTTTCTTATTTTTTCTTATCTTCACTATTCTTAATTTTCATTAATATCACTTTGTTCAGCGCGTTCTTGCTTTCTGAGCTATGTCCGCTTATCGAAGCAAGTGCGTAGCATTTGTTCCAGTCGCGCGCCGCGCTGTTTGCCGCTCGCCGCGCTGTTTGCCGCTCGCCGCCCTTGCCTTATCACTTCCTCCCTATCTAAGCTACGTTTCCATATCCATAATCCCGGATTTTTGCAGAAGGAATTTTGTTTTGCAAATTTACTCTATTGAGAAACAAAAAACTTCTTCAAGTGGTCGTGCTGTTCAGGTTGTTTATTGTTTACTTCTTGTAAATCTGTAGAGTAAACGACAAGGCTAAAGTCTGTGTACTTCGTTGCCAGCCTTCAATATTGGTTTTTCCGAACCCTCTTCAAAACAGAGCATTTAGCGTGAACTGTTCAAACATCGACTTCGCGATCCCTTGAAAAGTTCCCAGTAGCAGAAGCTAATGAGCTCTGAGAACCAGGGCTAGACATGACGTCGAGGGAAAAGTTTTCCCAGTCGACATTTCTTCTCTTATCTCCCTTCAAGGACAGCGTCCGGTGTCCAATTGCACTTTTCCACAGTTTCTTTCCGGGAATATTTCCGGTTAAATCCCCGAAAAAACCGCCGTCGAGCGTGGGTGTAGCGCATCTGGGCTCCCGAGTAGCGCTCCTAATGAAAACATTTTTCTCGAAAACAGCTATGACCTCTCTCCCTCGAACGACGAAATACGGCCCACATATCTCGCTGGGATCCCCAATGAACCGTGCCCTGGTGTCCATCAAGCAAAGAGAAGCCCACATCCCGACCCCGGCGATCGAATAGATCTCCCGTCGAGTATTCTTAGACGTACGCTTGACCCTACTGGGAGGTCTCAAGGGAATAATGAAAAGGTGTTCAGAAGCGTGGAATGTGTAGGAAATGGCAAAAGAGTGCAGAGAGTAATTATGCCTTGAAAAATGATGCGTTGTGACCTTCAATCGAGGGGCATGTACTTTCGAATAACTGAGTCTGGTCATTGTTCAAACTTTCATTTACTCAATAACGAGTCTGTTTCTCATCTTTCTTAGCCAACCAACGCCCATATGATTCACCGTTAATGCCATCTACATTTCAGAACAGCTATAATTCGGGGACTTCCCAAACCCAGCCTCCCTGTTACGTTCTACCATCAGCAGCGAATCAAACTATATACGA